CACTAAGGTAATATGTTTCCATGGCAGGGTAAGAGTGGACTTGATTTTTCCCCTTTACCCATTTTTGCGTGGATATTTCCTTATCAGATTTACAATTTTCTTAGGAAATCTTTATCTCATCTGTCCTTTAGCCTTCCTGACACTAGTTCTGTAGTGCAGAGAATCAAGCATCATTGCAATTGCTGATGTTACACTCATTGCCTCTTACATACTAGAGACTTAACCTTACGATTTCAGTTTAGGTTCCTTTTTCTAACAGTTTTGCTTACTATTATACGTTTTATTAGTCTGGTGTTTTGCATCACACTTATTAAAGTGGTCAGTTATTGATATTTTAATGTGGATATATACATGAACCTGCACTATTGTAATAAAATAACAAATTTTGCCATTATTTAATGTAATATATATTCACAGAAAGAACTTCAGTAATATGATGAAAGATGAATGCTTACCTTCTAACAAATATATTAGATATTTTTGTAAATTTGCTTAAAATGAACAACTTATCCAAAAAAGAAATTCTTTGTTCATTTCTTTAATTAAATCCCAGATTTTCTCCTATGAGCCCAAGTACATACTATTCTATTCTCTCTACAGTACGGAGGATACATACCTTATTTTCACTTATTTAAAATATGTTGACCTGTCAGAGTTGAAAACTTTTTATTTGACGGTTCCAGTTAAATACTAACTGCAAGCTGAAGAATTTGCTACTATTAAATCGAAAAGTTCAGCAATAAAACTAACATAATTTTCTTTCCAATGAGAAATCAAATTGAGGAAATGCTGATAGCTATTTAAAGTAATTTTTTATTTTCATGATTAATATTTTTCCCAACCATCCAAAACAGTGATGACCTTTAATCAGAGAAAAACTGACTACACTACAACTGCAATCAGATAATACAGATTATAATATGCATGTGAATTAATGGTGCTTTGGGTCAATTTTCTATGGTAATTGATTCAATTACAGGTACAGAATATTATAAAGTTTTGTGCGTTAAACATATATTTTAATACACCTATTGCTAGACTTCAAATGTGAAATATACCCAATTACTTCTCCATATGATACTATGATTCCTGAAGATTCTGTGTGAAAACAGCACAAATCCCATTTGCCAAAGAAGTCATAGGACCAGGCCTCCATTCATGCTGGGGAAATATATTCCTCCCACAGAAAGGAACAGCAAATATTCACACACACACACACACACACACACACACACACACACACACACATTCACATACAGTATAACATAGGCCACTCACTCGGTCACAAACTGTGTTTTTATCTTCATCACTTGAAACATTTTACTCCCTCACCAAGGTACCTAAGCAACGTTCCAAACACAGCATTAGCCTCAAAGTTCAAGAACTCAGTAGTTCTCTGAAGAGCCCACAAATATTTAAAAATGTAATTACCTATAGGAAGATTCAACAAGCTAAATATTTCCTTCAAATAAATTTTGAATGCATTAAAAAAATTCATGATTGTCTTCTACACTGGATCTCCATATATATATATCTGTTCTGGCTCTAGAGATCTATGTACTGAAAAAGCAAGTACACCCCACCACACACACACATGCTTCCCCAATATACTATATTAAAAGTAGGACAGAAAATTTTCTATAAATGCTTCCATATAGAAAGTGGAAATAGAAAACACTTATGGAATCTACTTGGTAGATGCTGCAAAGGCACCTATACTGCCATGGGGAATGTTCCTGTATTTGGCCTGGGTTCTGCTCCCTCAAAATAGCTGCCTGGTCTGCACTTACTGTGGTCCTTGGCTCTGCTCTCTAGATGGTCCTGCTAGTTTTATTAGATACTGTGGCCATATCTTAATTTGCCATTGGAGGACATTCTCTCACAGGGAGTCGAGAGCATGCTCAGCTGGCTTAATTCCCATGGAAGTTTGAAGGAACAAAGAGTTATGTTAATCTTGAGAATATTAGTCTCTTTTAGCCCAGACTAGAAGCTCACTTACCAGTATAACATTCATTACTAATCTTTTCTATTTGATTCCAGTACATTTCATAGGTCAATATTCACATCAGTAATCCTTTTAGAAACATTTCTCTATCTTTGAGCTTCTTACAGTTACCTTGAATTCTGGGATGTTCTGGTAGAGTCACAATCTTATTCTCTTTTCCCTCCATTATTTTGTTCAGCTTAAATAATTCACAGGAAACTAACAGATTTCAGAGCTTTAGCATTAGGTTTGAAGGAAACAACTTTGATTGGGTCCTTGTCATAAAACTAAATTTTAATAGACATTTATTGTTTAAAATCATCCTAAGTTCTATATTTTACCTTTTTGGAAATGGAAATCATGTGTCTTACAACTCTGGAAGTCACAGAATGATTTAAATTTCTATATTACCTTATATACCTCTTTCAAAACTGGATAATTCTTTTCTGAGTTCACCTTTTTAAAGCATTTTCCAAATGTACCAATAGCAAACAAGTAACATTAGTTCACATCTTTTCTCCTAAGAATCACAAGCTCACTCTGTACATTACTGGCCTTCCAATGTACTATAGGAAACTAGTGTATCAAATGTTTCATCACTCCATAGATTCCATGATTTCAGACTTCAATATATTTTCTCACCACCTACTTCTTTTTATTTTACCAAAGTATTCTTTTTTAATTTGTATAAATGTGTGAGGTGCAAGTGTAATATTATTACACGGAAATATTGCACAGTGGTGAAATCAGGATTTTCAGTATATCCATCATGGAAATAATGGACATGTTACCCTTCAAGTAATTTCTTATCATCTGTTGTCTGTCATTCCATTCTCTACCTCCATGTGTACACATTATTTATCTCCACCTTGTAAGTGAGAATTTGTGGTATTTGTCTTTCTGTGTCTGAGTGCTTTCAGTTAAAATAATGGCCTCTAGTTTCATCTATGATGTTGAAAGACATTATTTCATTCTTGTTCGTAGCTCAATAGTATATATCATATTTTCAATACACTCCTCCACTCATGGGCCCAATCCATTGACGTTGATTCTATATAGCTGCTATTATGAACAGTGTTGTAATAAACATACAAGTGCAGGTATCTTTTTGATATACATTTTTTTTCTTTGGATAAATATCCAGGAGTAGGATTGCTGGATAAAATGGCGGTTCTATTTTCAGTTTTTTGAAAAATCTGCATATTGTTTTCATTAGAGGTTGTTCTGGTATTAGAGCAATGTCATCTATTTTAAGATTAGTTTTTCTTTTATTATTTTAACAACCATACCAGTCAGCTTCAACTAAGTTTTTGTTTTGCTTTGGTTTTTTGTAGCAACAAACAATTCCAAATCCCAGTGGCTTCTACCATCAATCATTTCTTTCTACCCATATAGATTTCATTTTCGGTCAGCAAAGGCTTAGCTTTATGTCCTCTTAATTTCAGGATCGCTGAGAGAATAATGCATATTTTGGACATGGTGGCCTCAGGACATGAGACATGAGAGAAAAGATGTATTAAAATAAAGAAACACAGCAGAGAGTTGGCTCTCAAAGCTTCTGAAGACACTGGCATGCACAGCTCCTTCTCATAAGGCACAGACAAAGCAAATATCACGTGATCAAGCCTGACATTGATGATGTGGGAAATTTAATCCTACATGGAGGAACAAATAATGTTATCCTCCTTAAGACCTCGGCTCATTATTTAAATTGCACAATTACACTGTGAATCAGGTCTTTGGGGACTAGCACTTCATTAGTCCATGAACCCCAGAAGAAATTATTTCCTTGCCAATAATTTAGTCCCAGGTGATCTCTTAAAGCTTATATTGACAAAAATATTTATTCACCACTATCACCACCACCCCACTCCCTACAACAAATACTTGCCTGTTAAAATCATTCACAAAAATAATGGCTACAATACAATAAAAAAACCTAAAATCACGTTCTTGAGCCTTCCTACTATATTCCCCTTCCAACTTACTCTTCCACCATCCAGCCCCACCACACGTGAATATCACTACAAGTATATATATATATATATATATATATATATATTCCTAAAAAGAGACATTGCAAGGATGAAACGCCTGCCAAGAGTCACTAGCAAGCACAGACAGTGTGTGAGCCTCATTTGTGGAATGATTGATTTTGTTTTCATGTGATGTTATTACAGAAGAAAATCCAGGTTGCTTGATTGGAATTGTTTTATTAAAAACAAATTCTCAAAATGGGGAGTATGCTTGATTATTAAATTACTCTATGGAAAATAATTCAGCTCTTTGTTTATTTTTTATTTCCAACTGTTTTGCATTACATAGCAACAGTCTTTTTAACCAGGGAATTATGGCTTTTGCCTGAATAATTGTCCAACAGGGCCAGAGACAGTGACTGGAGCACCATCTGAAAGAATGCTACTGAGGGTGACAGTCCCACAATCATAGTGACATTTGAGACTGTGTTTCTTTTGTTTTAAAAAAATAAAAATCTTTGTTGTTTGTAACTGCAGCTGAAATCACCTCCACAGTTGTAACTGTGTGCTGTTAAGATATTACACTGAGATATCTATCTTCCAGGAACTTCTAAAATATTCTATAAACCATTATTGTGTTGACCTAACACAACAAAATAAAGATTAAACATTAAACGACACTGAAAATAATATATATCATAATAAATCATAACATATATCATACTTTTTTATATAGATGCTTAAATCTTAAAACACCCAAGCTTTAATGATACTGCACCCATATTTAAACACACACACACATACACACAGGATCACATTGAAGCATTAGTAAATAATACACTATTAGCACCACAAACATGTGCACACTATCTGTGTAATCTTATTTCTTTCCTTACTGTTTTTAAATTTATTTTAGTCATTAAAATATGAAGATTTATATTCCCACTAATGCCGTATGTTAATAAGGGAGACAATCATTGTATGTGCTCTGAAAGACTCTATAGAAGCTCCCCAGTAGGTGTTCACTAATAAAGTAGTACCTCATCTTCTTTTTGGTTGAGTCCCTGCTTTAGTTCTTCCACTCGTAATCTCAGTTTCTTTACTTCTGCCTCGTTTTGATCCACTCGGTTGTTTGCATGAGTCAGTTCTGCAATCTTTGCCTGGTATTGTCTGCTTAGTTTATAGTAGGCATGTTGAAGTTTCAACAGTTCCTTTCAAAGGAAAACAAAAATTACATTATTTATAGTCTGATAAAAATCAGAAGAATGGCAACTTCTTTTGACAAAAGAAAAGAACATTTTAGGAAGAAATTAGATGAGCCATCGTCTGTGTTTGGAATTCTACATTTCTGTAATCAAATATTACAATTATGATATGAATATAAATGAAAGATTTTACTAAAATAGAATACATTCTTTATGTTGTTTTGTAAATGATCTATTTTGCACCTTATACAAAAGTAGTTTTTATATAACCTTTCCCCAAAAGGAAATCATATAGCCATAAGGAAAGAATAAAATAATGTAAATGCAAAAAGAGCTGTTTATCCTGTTCATCTACTAACTCAGCAGATGCTACAAGTTAGCGCACTATATGATTTAATTATTTTCTGAAGAAAATAGGTTTTGTGAGGCTGTAGTCATGTTGTTTCCTGCAACCCCTTCTGAAACCACATGCATCAGGCTCAGAAACTTGCAGGAAGGACCCATCATGGGTAAGAAATATATTAATTTATCATAAAATAATTAGACTACATATGAATTTTGTTATAGTTAACACCATATGCTATATAAATTAACAAGTTACAGTAATTATCCTCAGATTATTAATATTGTTTCTTATTTTTGGTTAAAATTTACAGTATAAAATTAATAGTACCATCATTATAGAAAACATCTTTATTAAAACTATAAAGAAAAGGGTAACCCCTGGCTCCTTCTAATGTTATAATACTGTAGGAGACACCAAGGATATTTCTTTGATTTGCTAAAATGTACTGTCATATTACTTTATATACAAAAGTCACAAAAAGGCAAACATTAAAAATGCATAGGTAATTATCTTAGGACATCTAGGTAGAAATCGAAAGTGGATTTTTTTCACATCTCAAGCCATTAGTAACACTAATGAAGAATTCAAGATCCAAAAGTAAAAAATAGTCATAAAATATTGAAAAATACTGGAAAAAATTTGGATGTGGTGCTTTTCTTTTAATCATCAAGTAGGGGAAGTTTTCCTAAGTATGATCTCAAATTGTGAGATCACAAAATGATAAATTCAATCATAATAAGTATATAATTTGTACGTAACAAATAAAACATATTCAGCTTCTCTCAAATTCAGGGGACGTCTATTCCAATTTATGTAACACTTTTGACCTAATAAAATTATAGATATTATAGAAAATTATAGTGACTGCCGGGGGTAAGGTTGACATGAGGGTAGCTATAAAGGGAACCTCGTGGTGAGAATGTTCTCTGTTTTGACTGTGTAGACTTCAGTATCCTAGCTGTGCTATCATATATTTTTTCAGGATAATACCATTGAGAGAAACTATGCAAGGGACCTCCAGATCTTTCTGCATTATTTTATATAACTGCATATGAATTTGTATCAAAAATTAAAAACTTAATTCAAAAATCAAGATATTATTTATCATGTCTTCAGACTGGCAAAGGCTAAGTGTGGTAAGATAATATGCCAGTAAAATTCAGAGAAATATGGATTCGTTCATGGAAAAAACTGGTAATTTTTTTTAAATTTTTATTTTACTCTAGGTTCTGGGGTACATGTGCAGGTCATGTAGGGTTGTTGCCTAGGTGCATACATAACCAGGTGGCTTGCTGCCTCTATTCCCCTTTCATCTATATCCGGCATTTCTCCCCATGTTATCCCTCCCCACCCTCCCCCTGCCACTGTCCCTCCCCTATCCCCCCCACTACCCCCAGTGTGTGATGCTCCTCTCCCTGAGTCCATGTGTTCTCATTGTTCAGCACCTGCCTATGAGTGAGAACATGTGGTGTTTGGTTTTCTGTTCTTGTGTCAGTTTGCTGAGAATGATGGTTTTCAGATTCATCCAAGTCCCTACAAAGGATACAAATTGCGTAGTATTTCATGGTGTGTATGTGCCATATTTTCTTTGTGCAGTCTATCATACATGTGCACGTGCCTTTATAATAGAATGATTTATAGTCCTTTGGGTATATACTCAGTAATGGTATTGCTAGGTCAAATGGAATTTCTGTTTCTAGATCCTTGAGAAATCGCCACACTGTCTTCCACAATGGTTGTACTAATTTACACTCCCACCAACAGTGTAAGAGTACTCCTATTTCTCCACATTCTCTCCAGCATCTGTTGTCTCTTGATTTTTAAATGATTGCCATTTTAACTGGCGTGAGATGATATCTCAATGTGGTTTTGATTTGCATTTCTCTAATGACCAGTGATGGGAGAGAGATCCAAGATGGCTGATCACTAGCAGCTCGGGATTGCAGCTCCCACTGAAAGAGCAG